GCCGAAATTACTTTTCGCGAAAGGCAATCCCCAACCTGTACTCAATTGTGCAAAAGGAAGTAATAGCATCTCTGGCACACAGTGTTGGGGCAAGGGTCCATTTGACCACTGATACCTGGTCTGCAAAGCATGGTCAGGGCAGGTATATCACCTACACCGCGCATTGGGTAAACCTGCTGACTGCTGCCAAGCATGGAATGTATGGCTCTGCAGAGGAGTTGGTGACACCGCCACGACTTGCAGGCAGTCCTGCTGCCACCTCCTCTACTCCTCCTACTCCATCCTCTTCCATAACCTCCTCGGCTGAGTCCTTTTCTGCTGCTGCGTCTTGCTCCACATCAACGGATAGGGGGCGTCACAGTGATTAAACTGATAACAATAGTACTAAACACACCACTCACTCACTGGTGTCACAATAGCTTGGATTTAAAAACAAATTATTTTTTTCACTGTTATAGATTGAATAGCAGTTAGTTATCTTCAAGCAGGTGTGTCAGCCCTACAGCGTACTCTGCCAGTACGCTGCCACCTCCTCTACTCCTCCTACTCCATCCTCTTCCATAACCTCCTCGGCTTAGTCCTCTTCTGCTGCTGCGTCTTGCTCCACATCAACGGATAGGGGGCGTAACAGTGATTAAACTGATAACAATAGTACTAAATACACCACTCACTCACTGGTGTCACAATAGCTTGGATTTAAAAACAAAAAATTTTTTTCACTGTTATAGATTGAATAGCAGTTAGTTATCTTCAAGCAGGTGTGTCAGCCCTACAGCGTGTACTCTGCCAGTACGCTGCCACCTCCTCTACTCCTTCTACTCCATCCTCTTCCATAACCTCCTCGCTTAGTCCTCTTCTGCTGCTGCGTCTTGCTCCACATCAACGGATAGGGGGCGTAATAGTGATTAAACTGATAACAATAGTACTAAACACACCACTCCTATCTGGTGGCACATTAGATTGCACGCGCAGTGCCCCAAATTTGTTGTGATCTGTGAGTAAGGTAAACGGTTGTCCATACAAGTAGGTTGCAGCTTTTTGAGGCCCACACCACCGCTATGCACTCCTTTTCAATGGCAGTGAATATACTTCGCTGTGCAAAAGTTTACGGCTTAGATAAGCCCCCGGTTGCTCGCCACCATCTGCTCCGACTTGGCTCAGTACTGCTCCCAATCCAAGCATAGAAGCGTCTGTATGGACGAGAAAGTGTTTAGTTGACTGTGGAGAAGAAAGTACAGGTGTGATTTAATGAGCCGGCCTTGAGCTGTTGGAAGGCCTGTTCACACTCTGGGGCCCATACTACTATCTTGGGGAGGTTTTTACACGTTCCTATATGGCACTTACTGGCTTTAGGGTCAGTCCGGACTCCCTAATCCGGTCTATTACGGCTCCTATGTGGGTCAGGTGTTCGGGCCAGGAGCAGCTAAAAATGTCTATACCATCCAAGTAGGTGTGTATCAGTGTATATCAGGGATCCTTAGGACAGGTGTCAATCCATATCTGCCAAGTGACCCTATGTAGGGGGAACAGTTTCTATTCTGCTCTGTGTCAGTGTGTATCAGGGGCTCTGAGGACAGGTGCTTCTAATCCATATCTGCCAAGTGACCCGGAATGTTGTGCAATATTCCTATTCTGCTCTGTGTCAGTGTGTATCAGGACCACTGATAGGAGACGAAGGTATTAAACTGATCAGAACAATAATAAACACACCACTAATAAGGTTTCTCCGTATGGCTCCTCAAATGATGCTTAAGATTAGAAGCTGCCGAAAAGCATTTCTCACACAGGTATTAAACTGATAAAATAGTACTAAACACTCCACTCCTATCTGGTGTCACATTAGCTTGACCGCCAAGAAAGTCCCGCTAAATTTGCAGTAAGAGGACCACCAAGCCTCTTCTCTTCCATCTCCCTGTTACAAAAATCAATGCCGTGTACAATTTACTCACTGATAGGGAGACGCGGGAAGGTATTAAAACTGATCAGAACAATACTAAACACACCACTCCTATCTGGTGTCACATTAGCTTGACCGCCAAGAAAGTCCCCCGAACTTGCAGTAAGAGGACCGACCAAGCCTCTTCTTCCATCTCCCTGTTACAAAAATCAATGCCGTGTACACGACCACTGATAGGAGACGCCGAAGGTATTAAACTGATAAAAATAGTACTAAACACACCACTCCTATCTGGTGTCACATTAGCTTGACCGCGCAGTGCCCCAAATTTGCAGTAAGAGGACCGAACCAGGCCCCTTC